GTTATTATTATGAATGTGAAATTAATGGAAATTTCATACCACCTTTATATAAACACTTCTTTTCCTATGCATACTATTACGAAAAGACCGGAAGAAAATTTATTTTTTGAAAAAACAACAAATTATGAAATGGTGTCATGCATTCATTTCAATATTGGGTAAAATTTTTAAAGAATCATCAACGATAACTCAATATTCTCAAGATACACCATGTGCCATAATGAAGAAGTAAGTAGTAAACATGTGCATGATCTAAACTCTACACTACAAACAGAGCATCGAAAAAAAAAATGTCGATACAAACAAACACTAAAATTTACGTTTACAAACAAAAACTTATTGGTTACCATAGCCTTCGAAGACAAACTAGAGGGGAAAAGGTTTTAAATTTAATTAATAGCTAAAGACCTTTATATTTATTAATTTTGGCTAAATACAATGGTAATTAAAGCTGATTGGAAAAAATAAATAAAAATAAATTTTCAAATCCCTATGAAATACTATGTATTCTCAGATTCTAAACGGAGATGCATTTCAATTATTATATTCCAATGGAATAGAGTAAAAAAAACTACTACATACTTTTTCTCTATACTATTCTTGTTAAATAAAAGGTACTTTCATACATACATTACAACCAAACAAGCAGATGAAAAACTGCATATGTCAACAAGCAAATGTGAAAAGAAATAAAATCTATTCAACAGAAAGAATATTTTTCAAAATTTTCTGATTTCTTCACAAAATTACCAGAAACTGCTGTACTAAAAAACTAATAAATGTAGTAATCAAAATTTTATCAGCCTGTCTCAATCGATAAAATAACGCATAAAGGCAAAAGATAGTGATATAACGAGAAAGAAAATATGGCTTCAAAAAGATTTGTCTTTTTCTTTTTTTTTTCTACATTGGATTAGTGTTTTATTAACAAAGTGTAATGCGCATGGAAGTAAAATGAAAAAGAATAACAAGAAGAAAAAAAAACAAACTTCGCAAAAATTCAGTTTCGAAATTCTCTTTTTTCTTTCCAATCAGCATCTCACGTTAATGCAGGGTGTGCATCTGAGTGTTGTTCGACAGCTCTATATAGTTATATCCTTTTGATTGAGACTTATGCAGCACGGTTTACACCAAAATAAAAATCGAGGTAGAGTTTTTCAAGTTACTTGTATATAGTTCCATTTTTCATTGAAATTTCTTGAGAATTTCAACTCAAAATGATGCCTCTTTCCCGATATATAGAAGAAAAAAATGCTAGCATTTCAAGAGATTTTTGGAACTTCGATATGTCAGGAAAGAAAAATTATGTGGAGCTGAAACTTACAGTACCTTTAATTTACAAAAATAGAGCTATATACAGACAACTCGAGAATTTCTACTTCGATGTTTTGGTTTATATCACGTGCTATAAATCTCGATTAAAAACGATTAGGCAGTTCAAAGTATCTCGCCGTTACTTATTCAAACCAAGCAATATTCCATATTGCTAATTTTTATTGTTCCTAAATTGCAAGTTCGACAATTATAATTCATAACATTTTAAACTTCAACAGGAAAGAAATAGAAAAATTAGGTACTAGACTAAATTTTGACGACCAGAAAGGTGTGGGTATGGAGAAAAAAGAACCCACATCCACAGGCAAACTCTTTTTTAGTGTTTTGAATGGTACCAATCTTAAAAATTAATGTTTTATTGAAACGTTTTTAGACCGTTTGATATATATTTCAACTTGAAAAAAAGTCCTAAAATCATCTTGTATACATTGACTGGCTAATTCATTTTGCAACAACATAGTATGCAGTGATTACTTGTTCATTGTACAATTTAAATTTGAATCAACAAAACTTAATTAATAATAAGGAAACAATTGCAAAACGTGTTCGAATGTTCACCTTTTTTCTTCGTCTTTTTTCATTATAGTGAAATGCGAAATTATGTGTAGAATCGCTAGAAAAAAATGTCTTTAACGCATACATTCTCAAATATAAATGAGTTGGAAATATGAAAAAGATCTGCAATTGACTACGTCATTTGTATTTTTTTTGTTAAAGGTCAATATGCTACATAAAACTGTAAAAATGATCGTATTCAATGAATCGAAAATTGAAAGAAAAAATGACCATACTAAACCAGTTGATAATTTCTTATCGCCAAACTCATTATTAACAAATTCGCAGGTAGTGAATTGTTTATGTTCTTTTCAAAAGCTTATCACACAAAGGAATTGCAGTATTCAAAAAAAATTATATGAAGAAAAAGATCATTTTGTTTTTGTTGCATTTCAGTTCAGAATGCGGATGCACATTTATGCAAGCGCATCATACCTCACGGCCAAAGCCACATCCTAAAAGGGACTGAAAAATTGCTGATTGTTAATAACGATGAGAAAAACTGCAGCTCGTGTTTTTTTATCAGGTTCAACATTTCAAAAGTAAACACGATCCGTGAAATCATATTGCTGTGCGGAGTTTTTTCTTTTGGGATGAATAAAGTGTGGATATGATGTGTGTGGGAGTGGGAGATGTCACTGTGCAAATCTCTATATTGGAATTATATTCACATCCCACACCCACACGGATTCAATATGATCGAAGTTTTTTTTGCGCTCTACGAAAGTGGACGGTAACAGCCAACAGATCATTACTTGAGTGGTGACGAAATTCTGAGCATGATTCTCTAAAGATAATTATCATCTATTAATTATCAGTAAATTGTATCATTTTGAATAGATGATATGCCCTATTTTCGATCACAAATGCGCGATTACAAAAGGATGAAATACCAAAACGATCTCATGATTCCAAGCGCCCAATTAAAATCCTAAAAAATATTTCGCTAAAAACATCTGCCCCAATATCGACTTGATACTCACATCAACGTCTACAAATATTTTTTCTATATTTCGAAAAACTGAAACTTAAACAAATAATAAAAATTAAGTGAAAACTATATAAACGAATTTAATTATCATCGACATAATGAAAAAGATTTTTGACACGATATACTCGAATACCAGCATTACAAAACATCTCATGGTGTGGTTGTGGGTGTGGGTGTCGTTGGGATCTGGATAGATGTGGCACTGGAAATTACTAGAAAAACTGCACTCACACATCACACCTAAACTCACACGCACGTATCACACCCTACACCCACACTCTGGTATCTAGAGACTGCTGTCCAATCACTCTGTCGGGTACGACGGACAACCAGTCCGAAATTATATTTCTATATTTCTAATATTTTGGAGCTCGTTCCTTGTGAAAATTTAGCATAGCCTGCAGGAAATGCCCTTAAAGATCACTGGTATGAAGCAGATTTTATCCTGCAATGGTGGTTGGAACCAAAAACCTTAGTAGGAACAAGATACACGAACTTGTGACATTTACAATAAACTAAACTTCGATCTAATCTAATCCACTCGCGATTATAGCACTTCTTCAAATTAGTTTAATATTTTTTTTGTAATTCTACTCCCATAATAATGCATAGAGACATACTCAGTCTCCTCTGGAAGGAAAAAAGAATTTCTTTATGAGCATCATAACTCGAGCTATAAGTAGAAAGTGAAAAGCTTTTTCTGCTTCCAGAATTTAAACTTCGGATTTTATTTTATCGATTCCAAACGGTAACGGGTTTTCCTTGGATAATTTTCTAAGCAATATTTCTTCAACCTAAAATATTCTGGATAAATAGTGCAAAAAGAATTCACTCATACATTATTACCATAGATGATGGCTTATGTTCTTTCGACTAATGTTTTCTTGAAACTCTTTATTTTTGAAAAATTTCATTCTTCAAAAATTAGCGTCGCAAGAGTCAGAAAGAAATCCCAAGTGATTCTACTCAAGGTCACATCAACAGAAATTTCAATGGCTGCATTTCCGTGTGGTCGAGTCCTATATAGTTGATCTATGTAGCTCAAGATAGTTCATAAATACAAAATTTTCCGGATATAAAAAGTTGAAAAAGCTTTTTTGAGATATTTGTTTTGCGGACTTTTTCTTCTCATCGAATTCGTTACGGCAAAACTGCCTGTTATAAGTTTCTAGCTCAGGCATTGTTTCTCTCCAAAAAAAAAAAGAATTCTTGATATAGCAAACGGCAATACTGCATAAAACAGTTGTGGGTAGATGTGAGAGGGGATGCTGGTCAGCTAGAGGTTTCAACAGCCACAGTCGCCCGCACCCACATTCACACGTTGATTATTCATACATCTTTCTGAATCAAAAGTTCAGAAATACCGATAAAAACTTTTTAAAAGAAATAAATTGCTCTATATTTATTTCATACTGTAGTAATAATAAATAAAAGAAGTTTATGTGAATCTTTATTATTAACTTGTGGCACGAATTATTGTGAAAATATAGTCAGTGATTCAGGTAGTAAATCAACGAATCATTCACGATCGTTTAGTGTTGCTTTGTGAATGATGTGAATTTGAGCAGCATAATTTTTTCTAATAACTGGTTTATATAAAATTTGTGCTTAATACTATTTGTAGAAGAGTATTAAGTTTGATATCGAACTACAGTTGGATTCTATAAAAGAGATTGACAAAACGACCAATTTTTCTGAAATTATATTTGGATCTCATCAATGTGTATTTAGAAAAAACTTAGGTCCATTTTTCATGGATTTCAACACTTTTAAAATGCATGTCAAACTTTTCCGACAAATATTTTCTTGAATTTCCAGCTTGTGCAAAATTGAAGATCATAGTTAGAGAAATTTGGCAAAATTTGTGCAGTTCCAGATGTCTTCAAAGATTTGTTTGAATTTCATTGATTGCTCAACATTATTCATTGATAGTATGAAACGATTTAAACAAAATACTTTTTCTTTTATGAAGAAAATCTGAGATAGTTAGCTATTCGACATTATATAGGAGAGAAAAAGAATGAGAGAAATACGGAGATAACGATATCAAAGGGATAGTGATATCAATAATGGCATACAGATCAAGTCAATACGAGTGAAAATGTATCAACAAAAAAATCTACGATGAAAAACTTTCTCGTCGCATGATGATATTCTCCGCGTTATATTCCCCCAATTTATAAGAATAATTGTCAACCTTGTTGAAGTTATAGTTCTTAAAAAGCTTTTGAGCCTTCGAATTGCCTGACCATACTGTAACCCAAATAGGACGTCCAGGAAATCGTTCTTCTAGCCACGATAAAGCCACATTCATAAGCCACTGACCAAGCCCATAACCTTGTCGATCACGTCGAACATATATACGATGAAGTTCTGCGTCTTCCCCTGCACGAACATCAGGATGAGACAAAGTACATGGGCCAGCATTGGTAAATGCGACGAATTCATTATTTGTCTTGTCTATTATTATCCATGTTGCTTGCTGTGGATCTGCAATTTTTTTCGCATGTGCTTCTGGGCTAACCGATGTACGAAAATAAGACTGAAGATTATCTTCACCAATCGGTATAGTAAAACCATCGATGAATGTTTCACGAAAAGCATGTTGATTAAGTTGAGAGAGTGCAATATTGTCAGTATCAACGGCACGACGGAGAATGAATCGATGATCCATCGAGTGCGAAACGATTTTTTTGTGCACGACTGAATCTAAATTGATCAAAATTAGAAGAAGTAAATAATCCGGAATTTCTTCATAGATACTTTTGCAAATTCTTATCATTAGAGATGTACCAACATCGAGAATCTCTGTCAGTCTCGGTGTCTGTCTCAGTGACTGCCTCAATTAGCCTTGTCTAGGCTCAGTCTTGATCTTCGTCTTTTGTTGGTCTCAATGAGGTGGAAACAGTCACCCTAGGATCCGAGAACAGATTACAGATAAAACGATGATGGAGTATCACCGATGCACGGCTGTACTCACATAATCAATTATGTTTTCCCACGATATTCCTTCAGTCAATTAGAGTTTCCCATGGATCCTCATCCAGTGAATCGGATTTTGTCGTGGATTTTGCTTAATTAATCAGTTTCTTGAGTGAAATTTCATCAACGACTATGAAAAAATTTAATTGATCGGATGGAAAAATTTGGAAAACTCTGATTGGCTGGAAATATTACATAGGAAAACCTGATGGAATTAGAAGTATAATCGGATCGACACAGCCACTGTCACAAACAGAGGAAAAGTAATGGTAAAAACATTAGCGCTTGTCACTGATCAGTGCATTGGCTTATACTTCTAGATTAGACGGTTGAAAACACTGAAGAAATTGGATTGAGTGGAAGAAAAATCATGAGAGACTTCTCTTAGAAGAACAGCGAGTGAAAGACATGAAGACTAAGATCGATATCGCGACTGACTGATATCAAGGGCAGGAAGACTGAGACTGAGAAGTTCGATTTCGCACATCTCTACTTATTACACATCAATTAAAAGATCAATAATGACTAAATTTAAAAGAAAAAATATTTTGATATTGTTTAGTACTTTTAGATAATTGAAATGTAGTCTTACTCTTAATCCTTAGTCCATATAATCTTGAGTTTTCATCAAACAAGAGTAATCGTCATCTTTAGAGGATTTACATAACATTTATGAAAGTACTGAGAAATAGCATTTATGTCTCAAATATTCAGAAGAATACAAGCTAATGATTTCAAAAACTTGAAAATAAACATTTCTTTTCTTGTTCAGGCTTTTAATAATATCATTTATAAGATAAAACTTACTTGTGTTTCAACGAGGCAGTGATTGATTATAAACACATTGCGATTTCGATGCAAAAGTAATTATATACCGATAACCTTTTCATTCATGTTTAATAAAAAAAAGTATCTTTAACACACAAACATGAGTTAGTTGGTTGAGTGCTGTAAGATAAGAACATGTTCGTTCTCATCATCGTTTATTTTAAATAGCGTGCGAACAAACCAACTGCTTATTGTTTATATGAGAGATCGAAACGGGGTGAGCTGGACTTGTAATTTAATCCTGGAAATATTCCCATGAAAATCTCAATATCCAGAACGTGTATGCACGATAATCAGTATAAATTTTTAAGATGGATATGTTAGATGTCATCAAGGAGAATCAAACTGATTTCTGATCACTACGACATTTCTTTTTACTTCCGTTGCTTTCTAACGGTTTTCAATACTTTGAAATTATCCCATGTCTTGAAAATCGTCGCAATTTTGACAATTTCGAAAAAAATCCGCGTAAAATTGTGATTAATCGAGCTGTAGGTGTGCGATTGTGGATGTGTGGGTGCCGTTGGATACCTTCAGTCTACACTCAACCATAGTCTCATACTCACCCATACCCTTGTAACAAGGCGCTATTGCTAAAGGAATAGAAATCACAATACTTTGAACTGCCATGTGAGTTAAAATAGCTGCATATTTTTGTGAAGTTGCTTTTGCCATTTCGATCTCACTATTAAGTTGAAAAATAGTCTTCTTGCAATATATGAGTGCATCGATCTTTCTGTCAAATCCTAGGGATGGACGTGGATGAGACTGTGAGTGTGCGGGATGAGAAAACCCACACTGACAACGACACTCACACCCACACTCTGACCTCAAATGTGCTAAATTGAGATTCTAGCTTAATTATTTCAATTCAATCTTATCTATTTGGCTTTGATGTCTTCACATTATTGAAAAAAGAAGATTTTTTTTATTTGTCATATTAAATCAAACAGAAAGTTGAGACATATTTTCAGATAAATATAGATTAATGTAACATATCTTTTATTTTTCAATCTAATAAAAGAGCAATGTTTTCTTTTTGATGATAAATATATCAATAATATTGCATGAGTTAAATTTATTCTTGCCGATTTCCAAAATGCTAGTCACATCCTGTGTTCGTAAAATGAGATCAAAAGTATTTTTCATGAAAAAGAACTTTGGTTCATATAATCATTATGATATGAGAATCTTCATTGAAAAATAAATTTAATAATATGCACAGACCACAAACACAAGCTTTTACAAGAAATACACGAAACCTGTCATCATTCTTACATGTACATTGGTTTTCAATAACAATGACGAATCGTCATGCTATAAAAAATATGGAAAATTCTGAGAAGATAAAAAGTGGATTTTATTCAATGAAGATTAATGCTAATCCAATATGTCTTAAAAGGTGATTCTAGGAGATAATAACGACACCATTGATCAAGATTTTCTTTCCAGTGTTTTTTTTTCTATTTATATCTATCGATTCATCTAACATAGAGACGAAAATGATCAAGACTTTAAATGTAATTAAGAATAAATGGTAAAACCAACTCCGTGAATATTGTTTTTCAAAGTTTCTAAGTTTGAATTCATTGACTTGTGGAAGAAAATTCGATCTTATATGATATTTCGAAGTTTATTTAAAACATTTTTCTCTCTGATAATTGTCAAAATACTTAATAGAAATGAAAAAAAAAATTTCTAATATTCTCATGAACAAATGATTTCTTCATCAAATCACCTAGAAAAACATCATAATAGCAATTTTGTGTAGATATAAATTCTCAATTGGCTTCAATTCCAACTTTGATGACAAAATCTATTTTCATTCAATGATAATCCATCAGCTATGTTATTCAGGTCATTATATATTGCAGATCGGTCAATTAACTTTTTTTTATTTTCACAAAAATTCTTGCGTCAAGAAATTCTAATCAATGTTTACTTTATCATTCGGTTATTTAATTCATTTTCAAAAAAATCTTCTGAAGCAAATATATGAAACGTATTATTGATGATATTATTCATATGATCCCATCAGTAAAATGTTTTTATCAGAGTGTCACTTATTTTCTTGATTTATCACATGAAATTCTTATTATTATTTGTCTTTATTTGTCAGCATATGATATTCTTCGTTGCTTTTACATACTTTCAAAACTGAAATGCGTCTTCATTATTTGATATCTGATTATTACACAAACATTAATCTTGGTGCAATAACATTTCATGAATATCGTTATTTGATAAAGGACGGGGGCGTATAAGGGTCATTTTTGGGCCCTCGTCAATTTTGGTTGATTCATAGTTTACTAGATGCAGAATTTCACGAGGAATCGTTTGGTATCAAAATAAAGCTATTTCAGAAGAGTTTA